GGTGCAAGGACGCCTCGCGTTTGACTGGGCAGAAGCTTGGCGGGAAGGGCAAGAAGACAAGGGGTGGAGGAGGTGCGACGTGCCCTGAGTGGCAGCGGGGCGGTGGGGCTCGCGAAGAGTGGGACGCACTGCGTGCTGGGCGCAGCGCCTCGCAGTACATCCGAGCATCTGGCGTGAGCACGGCGTCGGTGCGGACGGGGCCCGGAAGGGCAAGGACACGACCGGCACGGACCGCACGGAGGTGACAGTTGATTTGGGCAAGACGGTCGAAGCGGGCCTCCAAGTGCCTCAGCCAGTCAGGTGTTGTTGAAGGCATGGGTCGCTGTCGATGTGCTTGGGGGGGAGGTTGGGGGGGTAGGGGGAGGGGGCGCGGGGCAAAAGGCGGCCGTGTCGAGCCACCGCCAGGCCCTCGTTGAGTTCCCCCCATCCTTTCCCTTCTCCCTTTCCCCCTCCTCCCCCTCTTCCCCCTCCCGGAGGAGCGCGTGGGCCAGGGCGTCGGTTTGGCGGGCGCGCTGTTGATCCCCTTGCGGCTCAGTGGCCTCGTCAGGGGCAACGTGCACCCCCTGGAGGTACTGCTAACCCACGCCCTTCCTAAGAGGGCGCCTCCTAATAAGTAATGCTGGGGAGAACTTGTGTCATTCTGCGCTAGTGATGGCGGACAGTGCCACAGAGGGTTCCCTCTCCTGGTCTTCGGATGCGGATGTGGTAGCGGGGGCTGCTCAATTCCTCCTTGGATTCCCTACCTGAGAGGGTGGTTGGGGCTCCGGCTCTTTCCCTCACGGCACGATCCGGGACTCAGGCCAGAGGTGTCCTTGGCCCCGACGGCACAGCACGTGGTGTCCACGATAGGGTGGTCTGTTCAGACAATTGTGTTCAGAATGGACCGTATGCAAGCGGCTGTGTCAGCTTGGAGAAGCCTGCTCGTGCGTTGACGCGCGCGGGGGAGAGAACAAGCCACAAAGCACCCAAGTGAGGATGCGGCGTAATGCCTCAGAGGCCACGGACGCGGACGCAAAGAATTGAGATGATTCGAGATGTTGGGACCGTGTGACATAGGAGCGCCAGATGTTCCCACTACGTAGTGTGCGAGAGTTGGGGCACGAGTGTCTCGTGGCCGGTACATGTCCCGCGGTTCCCTTCACCCTGGCTCTGGCTTTGCGTGCGTTCGGTTGTTCGAGGTCACTTTTTGCGGCAGGCCATTGGGGACTCTTCTGGCGGCCAGATCCCCCCCATTCGCGGCGGGGACTTCTCCTGAAACGCGGGTTGGCCCGGTCGGCGCTGGGTGGTGGAAGCGAAAGTGTTCCCTACGTTGCGAGAGTTCGAGTTCTTTTGTGGCGTCAGCGTTGGGTTCGTCTGCGCTGTTTGGGGTCGCGCGCGGGCGGGGCCCGTGGCTTTCCGCTTCTGCCATTTTCCAGAAGGGCGCATGTGTATGTCTCTCGGTCTTGGGGTCGGGGCGCCGTCTAGGAAGGCGTTCGTTTCCCTTTCGCACACCGCCCTGTGGTTAGATCGGCGCGCATACGTGTACGTGTGTGTAAATATGCTCACACACATCTACATACAGATCTAGAACTGTATATATATATATAACCAAGACATAGTTAGCGCTTCGCGCCACTCAGCATGGTCTCTCAAGCTTCGAACATGCACTTAGCATCATCCTCTTTGGCGGTTGGAATGTGGCCGTTTCCCACCCACACGTTTTTTGTGCCCTTCGCTTTCGATTTGCACGATCGTGCACCACCCGATTTGTTCTTGGAGACGCGTTGTGATTCGGATATCGAGGCGGGCCCGGTGACGTGGCGACGAGAACGCCACCTGGAGGCTTCGAACAAGTGTTCAACCAACATCGCGTGCCTTCTTTGTTGGATCCTGCACCGGCAGGTGTCGTAACGGCCTGCGCGTCTATGTTTGACACCGTTTGGATCGTTCAGCCGTCGTGTGGTCTACATACTGTCCAGCTCGTGGCCCAGGCTGCCCAGGCGCGCAATGCGAAGCAATGGCATGCCACGCGAAAGAATGCCAAGCAAAGCATCGCACTGCCCAGCAAGGCCGCAGAACACCAAGCAACGCAATGTCAAGCCATGCCGCTCTGGCTTTGGGAGCGCGGCCTCGGCAGCGCGAGGCGGTCGCATTTCGCGAGGGATTGTTGCATCTGGGGAGGGGGCGACGCGCGCAGGGCAGCGCGGGGGCGGGGGGGGCGCGCGCGCGACTTCAGAAACCATGCCGCCCAGTGCGCACCAACGCGCCGGAGGACACGACGGCGAATTGCAAACGCTGCAGTCGCCCGCCATCAGCGGGGCGGGGCGTGGGCGGCGATCGACGTCGAATCGCGCGTCCCCTTCGTTCCGCCGCTATGAGCGCGGCTTTGGGGGGGCCCGATGGGCCTGCCTGGGCCCATCCAGGGGCCTTTTTGGAGCCTTCTCGGGGCCCGACGGGGGGCCCCCGAGCCCTGGGAGCGTTCCGGGGGGTCGCTCCGTTGTCATCCGCGTGGGAATCCACGCAACATCGAATTGCAAGCGCCCCCCCCCCCCCCCCCCCCCGCCTCATTCGAGCGCGGCTAGGAGGGCCAGGGGATTGAGAGCTCGATGATCGCCCTCGCGACTCATGCCTGAACCCCCCAGCCCCCCGGCCGAATCGTTCCTTTTCCGCCCGCGCGGGGTCGACCTTCGCGGCGACCCGTTGAGCCCGGGGCCCGCGGCGGCGCATGGATTTCTTCCGTTCTTCCCCGCGCGCATTGCCAGCGGAGCCCATGGGCCCGTCCGAATCCAATGCAACGAGTGCTTGGGCGCAGCTGGCACGAGCATGCATTAGCGCGCAGCTGCCCCTGAAGTGCACCTGGCCCTTCAGGACAAGTCGCACCCGCGTGCAGCTAGTAGCTCGGCGCACACAGCATTAGACAGCATTGCGCATTCCGCATACGGGCGCGCGCAGATCTCTCTCTCTCTCTCTCTCTCTCTCTCTCTCTCTCTCTCTCTCTCTCTCTCTCTCTCTCTCTCTCTCTCTCTCTCTCTCTCTCTTCTCTCTCTCTCTCTCTCTCTCTCTCTCTCTCTCTCTCTCTCTCTCTCTCTCTATATATTTGTTCGGAATAGAAAAATGGCCACGCTGGCCTGGCAACTTTGGCGAGCACACAGCGGTGACCGATCGGATATCCAAGGCCACGATGGCTTTGTGGCAGTTTCTCTCTGATGGGATCCAGAAGGGCCCCCCCCCCCGCGCGCGCGCGTCCACGGCCGCCCGCCGGCGCCCGCGTAGAGCTTTTGTTTGGACTAGATTGAAAAATCGGCGCGTTGGCCTGGGATCGATAGCAATGAAAAATCGAATGTTTGGATTAGAATGACAAATCGGCGCGTTTGGATTAGAATGAAAAATAGAAGTAGTAAACACTTAAGTAGCTGTGACCGATCAGATTATCAAACTAAAATGGGTTCTGCTGCACGTTGTCGACCATGGAGACCACGGCCCCCGCGCCCGCGCGAGCGGGTGGCCATAACCACCCGCGCGCGTGCTCGCGATGAGTTTTTTTTTTCCCACGGTTTGAAATGGATAATTTGCCAGGTTGGCCTGGACACTCAAGCGAACACTTAGCTGCGACCGATGGGATTTCCAAGTTAACACGGGTTTTGTTCCACGCTGTTAATCATGGGAGCCACAGAGAGCCCCCCCCCCGCGCGGACGAACGCGAGTGACCATGGCCACCTTCGCGCGCGTGAAGTTGTTCCATTGCGCGGCATCGAGAAATCGCCGCGCTGGGAGGGAAAGCCAAGTGAACGCGCGGCGGTGAAATATTTGGATTTTCCAAGTGAGTCTGCGTTCTCTCGCATTGTCTCAGGAAGCCGCAGAGAGCTTTCCGCGCGCGGACGCGCGCGAGTGACCGCGGTCACCCGTGCGTTTGCGCACGTAGAACTTGCTACGGTTTGGAATTGAAGCTTGCCGTGCTGGCCTAGAGACTCAAGTGAACACTGAGCGGTGACCGATTGGATTTGTCACACGGTTTGTCGCGGGTTCTTAGTCACATAAACCGCGGGGGGGGGGGCCCGCGCGCGGACGCGCGCGGGAGATCGCGGTCACCCGCGCGCGTGCGCGTAGAGCGTGCTCCAGTGTTTGGAATAGAAAAATCGCCGTTTTGGCTTGGTCATAGAATGTGAAAGTTAGCGCGGGTCTGGGCGTTTGTTCGTTATCTGGGAGACCAGAGAACACCCCGCGCGTGCGGGTGACCATGGCCACCCGCTGGAGAGCGCGCGCGCAGCTCCCCCCACTGGAATGGAAAAGTCGCCACGTGGCCTGGGAACTCAAACGGGCACTCAGCGGTGACCGATTGGATGTCCAAGGTCATTGGGTTGCGTTGAATATGGTCTACCATGGGAACCAAAGAAAGCCCCCCCGCGCGCGCAGGGCGTTTGCTAGTGCTTGGAGTAGAGAAGTCGCCATGCTGGCTCGGAAACTCAAGCGGGCACTTCGCGGTGACAGATTGAATGTCCAAGCAAACGCGCATGCTGATATACGTTGCGCAGCTGCTGCGCTTTGCTATACTTCGAACCGCAAGCACGGAGATCTCGCAAGCGAGCGCGCCACGTTGATCAAGAGCCGCCGTCCATCCTTCGAACCGTTACAACATAGTACACGACGGGACGCAATGTTAGGCCTGGAGAAGGCCTTCGCCCGTTTTTTTCCAGACGTCGCGTGCCCAGACGGGTCGATGGCAAAAATGTCATCGACCTCTGCCCCCTTCAATTTCCATTGCGGTTTTCTGACACCCGAACACAGATGGTATTTGGGAGACAAGGGATTTGTTGATAATGCTCTGCGTGAACGAACGCGTCTGTGAATCGCGCCAACAACTCATCGATGCACGGGCCGTGGATGGCAGGCCCGTTCCCCCGAGCCGTCCACGCCGCGGAATGTCGGAAGCGACCGGGCCCATTATCGCAGCGATCGCGCGCCCGAGGTTCAATGGGCGGCCGCGCGCGCCATTGGCCCGCGCACGCGCGCTCGTTCGGGCAATGCGCCAGAGCGCCATCCAGGCTGGGGGCGCAGCCCGCGCCGAGGCGAAAGCGGCCCTCCGCTCGGGGCTTACGCCCGGGAGTGGACGTCCTGATTTGCACGACGAGGACAAGTTGATTGCTGCGCTGCCGCCGCGCAGCACCCGCCGCTTTAGTCTGCGCACCGCGCCCGCGACGCTGCTGCGCGATTTCCAGGGCCAGCAGGGCTGCGCCAACTTGTCCGAGAGGCTAGGAACTGAATGGCGCGGGGTGGAGACGGATGGCAGGCTTCTGTTGCTCGATGAACATTGCCGCTCGCCGACGCGGTTCCGATTGGCATTACTACCGCCGTCGCGCCAACGCTGTCGGGGCATGTCCACTGCCTTCTGGGGGCCCAAGCAAACCCTTACACGTTGCACCAAGCGCGCATGGCAAATTGTTTCGTTTCTGCAGACGCGCTAGGCAAAATTGAAGGGACCGCGACGAAAGTCGCAAGGTCCGCAACGGAGCTGGACAAAAGCCGCGCAAAACCATTCCGGCGGCTTCGCGCGCCACCCGAAGTAGTTTTGCGCACCGCCCGCGGGCCGGCACGCACCCGATTGGGCAAGTGATAGTGATGGAGCCGCCCACAGGCCGCGCAAAGCCGCTTTGGCAGCTTTGCGCGCCGCCCGCGCCGACGAGGGGAAAACAACACAGTTCTGGCGCGCGCGTGACAATACGTTCGTTGCCCAACGACCATCGGTGGCAACCTGAAAGCGTTGCAAATCGACGCTCGCAAAGCCAATCGCGCGCGCCGATGGAACGCGCGCGCGCGCGTCGTGAACGGCGCGCGGCAGCCGCGTGCGATTCTGATATTTTGCAAAGCGTGTCCGTGCCCATCGGCATCCACAGGCGCATGACCGAATCCACTTCCCAGGCCGTCTTGCAAAGGCTCACCGAGCCCCTGGCCAGACCCCGTCTGACGGATTTTGGCGCGATGCATTGGATCATGGGGGCCCCAGGAGCGCGCCGATGAATTAGCCGTCTCGGGGCGAACCTGTTTGGGTCCTCTGCGACGCAGCACTCCCCGAGGGCGCGGCGGCGCGCTCCTGTGGAGACTTGTGGACATGGTTTTTGAACATTTTCAAATATTGGGATCTCCCCTCCCTTGGCCCTCTCTTGAGCTAAATCTGTTGGCGCGCGAGGCGCTTGCGCTAAGTTATCCGACCGGGGCCCGATGCGCCAACCAGAACATGGCGGCGGAGCAGATGTTGTTTCGGGGCGATCTCGTAGGATTGGTCTCCAAGCCGCATGCGAACTCGCGTGCACCAGATCTCTGGCACCAGGCGCGATTGATGATAACTGTCGTCGATGTCAGGCCTGGCTCGTGGCAAAGTGTGCGAGGCTCGCCCCCCTCAACTGGGCCGCTGGGCCTAGGTCAGCGACGATTCAGACACAGGCCCGCAAACCGCATTGCTGCGCTTCTCCAGGCCTTGACAGGCCGCAATGTGTGAGAAAGTCTCCCGCGAGACCCACAGGATGAAAAAGAATCGCTCTCCATCCTTGTAGCTGCTTGGCATGTTTGTTGGACGAATATGTGTTGCGCGAAGGCGCCCATGCATACCATCCATGAGTGCAGCTGCCTGAACCCACGCACGCCATCCATCTGTTGAAGAACGCGCGGAGGCGAGAGCCACAGTTTGGAAACTACCCCCCGCCCCCCTTGAAGATGTTACGCATTGTTAAGACGAGTGTGCGGGGAGCTGGTGCCAGAGCCACACTAGGAAAACCCCACGCCCCCACGCATTGTAGCCGCAGGGGAGCTAAACTTTTGTGATCACAAGTTGCGGAGGGATTTCCAGGCGAGAAACCCAGCCTGCTTTACCATCACGTCTGGGGGTGCCACGATAAGGAGTCAGTTACTCGTGGATAGGACTAGGATAAAAAAAAGGGTCGGACGAGAAGGAGGAGGAGGAGGGAACGACGCGGGGGGAGGAGGGAGGACGAGCAGGAGGAACAAGAGGAAGAGGGGAGGAGCGGAAGCTAGAGGATGTCGGGAAGCAGCAGCAGGAGGAGGAGGAGGAGGAGGAGGAGGAGGGAAGGAGTAGGAGTAGTAGGACGAAGGAAGGAGAAGCGAATGAGGAGGACAAGGAGGAGGAGAAGGAGGAGGAGGACAAGGAGGAGGAGGAGGACAAGGAGGAGGAGGAGGAGGAGGAGGGGGAGGAGGACGGGAGGCGCCCGCAGGCCGGGCTCTCGGCAGCGGCCGCTCTCCTCGGGCAGCTCCAGGCGGCCCGTGCCCTCCGCTGGGGCTAGCGACGACGACGGCGGCGGCGGCAGCGGCGGCGGCCGCGGCGGCGGCAGGTTTTCCGTCGGTCCTTGGAAGTTGTCCACTCTAGGCGATGCTTAAGAAAGCCCAAGTTTTCGGCCAGAGTCTTGAGTATTCTTAATGTTTCAATGTAAATCCTAAGATTTGAATAGACGTTCTGGGTTTGTATTCAAATTCTGAGACTATGAATTTCTTAACCCATGATTTCTAAAGCATTTCGCAGGGTGTCCTGTCTCGGAGGTGCCTTGGGGTTGTCCGCCGCGGCGGCGGGTTTCCTGAAGTTCCCGTTGGTGCTTTGGGGATGCCTTCCAGCAGCTGCGCTTCGACGAGAGCGCTGCAGGGACGCCCAGATCG